AAAGGAGGGAACTTGCGTACGCTAACCACCCTCGTTCTCGGCATTTAGCAAAGAAACCTCGGCACGTCGGCCACCTCGCCCGTGAGTCCTTTGGCTTCGCTCCTTGATAGGTATCTGCTAGAATTGTTAGACAAAAACACATCGTGCCGCTTGAGTTATTTCGTCTGTCCTCTCTGAAAGGCGAAGTCAAGCTCGCTCGTAAAGGTGAGACAGCTGTTGAATAGCAGACGACGTTGCAAAGGAGCAGACGACGCTCAGATCTCGGCGACCCCCTATCTTTCCGCTCGAGCCAACCAGAGCTCGGCGTTCTGACGTCACCGACCCCTGCGCAAGAAGCAGACGAACTTGCCCTCCGCATAGCCTACCAACGAAAGCAGCGCCGTCTTGCGACACACACGGGCGTTATTAGAGGAGGAGGACACGACGGCCTCAATACAGGAGGCGTTGACCAATCCCACTAAAAGTTTCCAGTTATGTGTTGCAACTGCTAGTAGGACGGGAAGGCAATGGCGCTGCTTTTCCAAGGCACAGTGACTTTAGAGTAACTCGCCCTATGATGCCACCCGCCATTTCTTACTACTCGTGCCCACTGCATATTCTTTTTTCCGCGTCAATATGTATATTATCACTGGGAACACGCGCCTGTATTTGATTTTACTGAATACCCTCGAGGCTGCAGTGTTCCTCACTAAATGTCCAAATTTGTAAAAGGGTGGTGAGCTGGGCTAGTTGATAAATAATCTGCGTGGTTAAAGTCAGCGAGAAACGTAAGGCAACTGTAGAAGAATACAGGAGACAGGAGACAGAAGTCACCTTCTTTCCCCATCTCTTCTAGATGAAATACTGAGTTGCGAGTTCAGCGACACAATCCTGTCTGCTGTATTCTACCGTTTTTTCACGTTGCTCGCTGACTTTACCCATGTCCAGGTTTGTCTGCGTTTTCCACGGACGCAACACTCCGGGCAACTTTGGCACCAGGAACTTTCCGTACGCCTACTGTCACCACCTGGTGTACTGCTGCGTCGGCGTGGAGGCATCGTCAAGTGATGGGGACGTGCTCAAGAACTTGTCCGCGCTGTCGAACAACCAGTGCACGGTGGGCGTCATCTTCGGAGGTGAGATTATGGCTCCATGAACTGAAACACCTTTCCGCGTAGCCTGACCTGAATGCCATGAACGCGTCGTTGACTGGTATGTTGCTCGGTTCTTTGTTTTATCACGTCCATTTTCGGTTGGTGACGTCAGAAAAAGTGCAGTGTTGGAAATTGAAACCATTTTGGCGGAGGACAGTAGTAGAGAAAAAGAAATAGGAATAAAAATCGCGATAAAAAAGAAAGACACAAAAAACGGAGAGGAAAAGGGACAGCGTGGCCAGCCATCCATGCTTAAACCTTGCCCCTCTTTTGCTCCCCGTTTTTTTCTTTCGTCTTTTCTTTTAGAGCGCAGCTCTTAGGCGCCCGTTTCCGGCTTGAGCGCCGTCGCCGTCGGCGTAACCGTGAGGTCACGTGACCCCCTTAGGTCACGTGACCCTCCCCTGAGGTCATGTGACCCCCTGAGGTCATGTGACCCCCTGAGGTCACGTGACCCCCTCCCCCGAGTTCACGTGACCCCCGTGACGTCACGGGGGTCACGGTACCTCACGGGGCCACGTGGCCCCCGTGGCGGAGTAAGAGGCAGGAGGACGAGGTGATCGAGGAGGAGGAAGGAGGGGTATACCCTCCCCTCAGTACTCTTCCATTCTCCTCCTCAAGCTGCGCTCTAATTCGGCGTTACAGGGAGTTGTAAAGGGCTTTTATTTTTTTATCACTATTTTTATCGCTATTTCTCTTTCTCTCCCGCCAATTTCTCATGTTATATTCGTGTGTCTTTTTCTTTTAATTGTCAGTACTTCGTCTCTGTCCTTCTCTCACTTAGTATTAAACGCCAGTTGTGAGCAGCGCTCTATCCTGCCTCTACGTTCTTCCTTTGCGCTAATTTTACCAAGGTGTCGCCTATCCACCACCTGTTCTGCAACGTCACAGTCCCGGCGTCTGGTAGACACGACCAACACCACTTTTTACCCTAAACGATCTGGAGCGCCTGCTCTTCCGCAAAGCACCTGGGGCAGCCAATTGCTGCAATCTACGAAGAGCTCTTGGCGAATCACGGGGCTGATATATGTTTAGACCCCAATAAAAAGTTTAGCGCTGCGGCAGTGAACACTGTCGCACGACGCGCTCAACGCCACCACGCAGCATTTTTTTTTTATTATTTAAACATATGAGCAGACTTTTTATTTCCCCAGCGCCCATTGTGGATTGTAGCGATTGGTTCACTCAATTGCTATGCGAGAAAGCAGACGCTCCAGGTTTCTTGAAGTGCCCGACGCAGTCAGACGACATGTGTCACAGGTGTCCGCGAGCCCTAGTGCACACCGACCACAAAAGCGCAGGCTCCGTGGGGAAAGACGACGTGGACCTGAACATGCTCCTTTCGGACCTCTGGCGGTCGGCCCAGTTCGCGGCCAGGCTTCTGGGCCTGCACAGTTCGGCTCCCTTCTCCTCCGCCTACCTGTTCTGGAAGCAGCCGTCACCAAGCAACAAGAACCATCTGACCAGGCTGGCGGTCACGCTTCGCAAGAAGCTCGCCTCTCATTCGGTCGACCTTGGACTCGTCATCGATGGCGCTGTAGATGTCAACTCCAGCTTCAACTTCCGCGGGTAAAGGGAGATTCACACACTTGCGTTGAGTCGGACCGAGTGCGAGGGTTGCTATGGCAACAACTCCGTCGGCTCCACCAAAACCGGTTTTTACTCCGTTTTGTTACAGCCGACGCAGCTGTGGCCATAGCAACCCTCGCACTTGGTCGAACTCAACGCAAGTGTCCGCATCGCCCTTAAGGCATGAAATAAAAGTGGAACGCGATAAAGTTGTCGAGCCCCGTTAGCATCGCGTTCTCATTCGCGTCTCATGCTCAGAGACGCGAGTGCGCTCCGAGATCTAGAGACGCAATCGCATCTCCGAATCGTCCTGTCGCTGCTGCCACATCACTTCGGCTTGAAGGGCACGCGTATATGCAATCAATCAATCAGCATACAATCCGCTCGTTCCCAAGCCGTGCATCCGTGCTTTGCGTGGCCTTGTCAGTAGCGTTTGTGGCTCGCAACCGAAGGGCCGTGGGTTCCAATCCCCCAAGAAATTCCTCAAATTTTCTCTCTGAGGCAAATTAATTACTTTTTGAAGTGAAATCGTTTGAGACATGCCTTCGACCTTTAATTTGTAATACATGTCATGTATTAATCACTTTTATTCCACGCCTGAAGTCACGTGACGTCATGACCCTGTCAAACATTCAAGATTTTCCCTCCCGACCGACACCCACGCCGGTTTTTCTGCGAAACGAGCTCCTCAACACTCTCGCGTTCAAACACCGATAAGAGCGGTTGCCGAATGCAAGGATGCGGTTCGGACCTGCCATTCCTTCGCTCTAGTAGCATGTATAACTCGTTGACTTGATATCTTTTTAGATAAGTTCTGACAACACTGACGTTCCGCACATGCAATTCAAACGCACACGGCTTGCACTGACGTGACATTAGCGGCCCCTCGGCTTTGGTGCTTCGCATGATCATTCTGCAGGCTACATACATTTCGCATCATCGAAATTGTTTCTCTCGACAAGGACAATTAAAAATGTCCACAAGCGTGATAAGACGCATCATGGGCGTTATCGGGCATGGCAACAAGCGGTCGATGGCCCGGTCACTCCTCATCTATAGACCATTTCACAAAGATGCTCCTGGCTATTAACCACGTTGAATTAACCTGAGACTGGGTAAGAGAAGCACATCAAAACGTATAAAGGACTTTTGAGACGTCGTCCTGTTTATTTTCTGCCCCTTCTACGCTTTGATGTTTCTTCTTTACCCCAGTCTCAGGTTAATTTAACATGGTTAATATCCACCAGCTCGCCTGCGCCCTCACAATTTTTTTTTAGGCTCCTCGTAAGGGCTCATTCACACTGGAAGCGGATCCGCGTTCGCAAAGCGGTTGCGAACGCGGTTGTATAAGGATTCAGTACAATTGCACGCGCACACGATGACATCAAATGCGCGTGCAATTGCACTGGATCTTTATACAACCGCTTTCGCAACCGCTTCGCGAACGCGGATCCGCTTCCAGTGTGAATGGGGGGTAAGCTTTTATGCGAATGGCGCGTGCTTTGTTCGCTTTCAGAGGCGACCAACACGCCCGTGCTTTCAATCAAAGATCAGACACACACCGCGTCACTGATTCTGTAAGCCTTGGAAGGGTATATCATCACACCGAAAATAACAAAGCTGCAGTTCTGATGTTTCGGCGTAACCCATAGATTCCCAATATTGACAGCGGCGTCAGCGCTGGGATGGGTCACTCGGTGACTAGCCCCAGCCGAATCCTGGCGCAGCTCTCCTGTACAATCTAGAGCACTATTGGGCAGGAGATCGAACTATAGGGGGCGCTCTGACCCGTTTGTTTTCCCTACGCTTGGTGTTTACTCAACACAAGGCCTGTGCACATGCCGACAGGCCTTATGGGCATGGCCATGTCATCTTCTACAATAGAGCGCGGGGCGCAGTTTAATGTAAAAAATACTAACAATCGACGAAGCGACGTTAAGTGCCGGATCTATCCTCAGAGAATGCGAGCTTGACCCACTTCGGCTTTTGTGATGAGCTGGGATCGTGCATGCTGCATTGTTCATGCAGGCCTAGTGGAAACAAAACAGCCCCTCCTCCCCCTCGCCGGAGAACACGAATTCCAGCCGAACGCTGACGCCGCGTTCGGTTATGTCGGCCGAACGCTGCGTCCTTGTATTTGTTGTCCCCATCCGTGTAGTTGTTAGGTTAACCGCTTGGGGCGTCACGGTCTGTCCTCCTCCCCAATAGCGAGCGGGCACGCCGACCGTGTCGCGACCGGCGCCTATTGTTCGTCGTGCCCTGGCGGAAGACGGCGCTATTTCCTCGGGAGGCAATGGCGACGAACAGCAGCGCGGAAGGTGTCCCCGTCGTGATTACGACGGGATTTCAAGCGGTCACGAATCCTGAAAGTTTCTTTCGTGGTGCTAATTTAACGAAGGGGAAGCTCCTCCACGAATCTGGCCACGTTTATGACGTGAAGGAGGTCCGTTTCGACGGACGAGCGGATGTCACGGCGCGCTGTGTGCCGCAGACAAGACTGAGCGCACCCGTAAAGCACGTCGAGCTTCACGTAAGTACATAAGAGTCAGTTTTCTTAATTTGCGTTGAGGGATTGCTCTAACGAGGTACATTTATTCCGTTCTGAATTAGCTTGACAACAACCGGGCGATTGTTTCCGCACAATGCGACTGTCGTGCTGGCGTCGCAGGGAGGTGTAAACACACCGCGGCAGTCGTCGTGTACTTGAAGGAAGATGTAGCAGCATCAAAAACGAGCTGCGCAAGGAGCTGGGGCATACCGTCATCGAAAAAAACGTACCCTAAGTTCTCCCGAGTGGCTCCCAACTCGCAGAAAGGTGCGTGCTTATGCATGTGTACAAATTACTCTTTTGAATGTTTTAATTAGCACTTAGCTCTTTTGCCACGCGATAGTCGAGAACAAATAAGCGTTGCAACTTTGCTTCTCCACCATGTGTGCAGGAACATCAGTGTCTGTCTGTGCTGTGGATGTGAGCCACGTTAAACAGTTCTTCGGCGATTTGAGTTGCCCCCTCAACGACATGTTGCGAGCGGAAGAGCTGGTCTGCGACCAGGATGAGGAATCTGTGGAGCAGCCACCCTCTCCAGAGGCCCTGGTGCTCTTTGATTGGCCATTGGAGGGATTCCACTACAGGAACTTCTTCATCGAGTTTGAATCTGGAGGGCCCATTCAAAAGGAAGAGACATTTGTGGAAAGGTAAGGTGGCGTGCATTGTGTTAGTATCGATCTCCTAATTTGTATAAAATGTATCTTGCAGCCTGCGAAGTCGTGAGAGGGCTGTCTACGATAGGAGCATATGCAAGTCGTCTGAAGAGATTCAAAGTATCTGCAGGAACACACACTTGTCGAGGGACACCTGGCGGAAGGAGAGACTGCCTCGCATTACAGCAACAAAGGTGTGCACCATTTAAATAAGGACAATGTCAATATCTTTTTGTACAAATGTAGTACTAGATATTCATTATTTTCGGATGGAACAACTCCTTGGTTTGTACTGATATATCTGCCAATGGCGGTCAAAGAGGCAAACATCCTGGGTCTAGGAGACGCGGCTTCAGCTTCAGAATCGAAATGTTCTCGTACGGATGTTTACAATTTTATTTCTTTCCACTTGGTAGGCACATAAAGTAATACGCTGCCAAGGAGACTTGCAGAAGCTTGCCAAGGAGATGGTGCTTGAAGTGCCCTTTTCGTCCCAAGCAACAGCGCATGGGGTGCGTTACGAGCCAGAAGCTCGAGCCAAGTTTGAGGAAGAGCGCTGCGTCAAGGTCCACCAGTTCGGGCTTGTTGTGATGCCCGAAGATCCCTGGCTGGGGTGTTCTCCTGATGGACTCTTCCGGTACGTATTAAGCTGGAACCTCTTGGATAGCGTCAGAATAGCAGCAAGTGGTTCGCTGTGCCTTATCTTCTGGTTAGCTTAGGGAAAGGCAAAAGTTACGACCCTTGTGAGCCAGTAAGGGCGGTCCACTCAGCAGCTCGTCACAAGAGGCACACCCCGAGAGTGCATTGCCACATGTCTCATTGTAATGCTCCGATAGGCATATTGCTCCAGCTGCAGCTCCCGCTGCTTGCTTGGGAAGCCAAGTCTCTTTGTTGAATGTCGGCTGCCATTTTGAGGCTTCCAGGCGGTTACACTAAAAGTTTCTCCTAGTAGTTTCTGGTAGCTTTGCACTTCGCATAATTAGATGCTTACTGTTCCACCGCAAATAGTACACATGCATGTAATATCCTTAACTGTACATAGCTTTCGGTATTGGCTCGTACATATTTAAATACAATGTATGAGCTTCAAAAACAGAAAAATGCTCGTGAATCACCAGGAGGTGCTTTCCGCAATTCCGCTTCCAGAATGTTTTATTAGCAATCCGTTTTCAAACAGCAGTCCTAGCACGCATAAGCCAGCTCACCACATTTCGTATCTTCAGGAACGATGAGGGCAAGGTCAACTTGCTTGAAATCAAGTGCCCTGCCAGCCGGTGGAAGAAACCATTGACGGAGAAGCCACTACTTGCATATTTAGTGGAAGACAAGCATACCAAGATCATCAGCTTAAGGCAGTCACATCCCATCTACACTCAGATCCAAATCTGCCTGTATGTCCTCCAACTAGAACAGTGCGAGCTGTTCATCTACTGCTCCGTAGACCGGAAGACGTTCCGAATTAAGCGGGACGAGGCATTCCTCTCTTATGCAATCCCATCGCTTAGATCATTTTATTTCACCTTTTTCATACAGGAACTTGCTGCACTTTGTTGAAAAAAAGCAACCTCCACAAATAACGCTAAAATGTGTGTAGCAAAAAAACTGGGATGGATTCAAACGAGTTTGGGCGAGTTGGTTCAGGATCTAAAAGGTTAAGAAGCGTAGACAAAACGAGGACGGGAAAGGAACGAGGACGGGTGCTAACTCACAACTGATTTTATTAGAAATTCATCCTAGCTTATATCCACAAATTCCGTTGCCCGACTTGCATCGCAACAATTCGCCACTCCTACATGCAGCCATCCAAAAAAGAAACCATTCTGATGTAGAAAAAAAGAAGGCGCGCTAACGCACTGGCCATAGGGCCTCGATAACCTCTCTTGTGCGTTAGTATGCCTTCTCTTTTTCTACATCAGAATGAGGTTTCTGTTTTGGATGGCTGCATGTAGGAGTGGCAAATTGTTGCGATGCAAGTCAAGCAAGGGAATTTGTGGATATAAGCTACGATGAATTTCTAATAAAATCAGTTGTGAGTTAGCACCTGTCCAGTCATATTCGTGGCTTCCTCGTCCTCGTTTTGTTTGCGCTTCTTAACCTTTTAAAAAACTGAGAATTGCAATACACTGTACAGAAGCCTAAATAAAAAATCAAAACACTATTTTGTTTCTGAATCATTATTGCACGAAGGCATTACTAAGGATTGCAAAGTGATCTGTAAACTGAAAATAATCTTGTATCCTACTGTTCTCCAGAGGCCGGGAGAGAATGCATCATGAAGGAAACACCACAAACTTACGGTTAATTTCTTTTGAGAACAAACTAAAACGCAGCTTTTTTTTTCTGTTTTATTCGTTGACAGATCACTGAGGCTTAAACTTTTGCTCTTTGCCGAGTCATGCAGCTTAGGCGGAAGACTACTGCTCCTTCTGTGACTTAAATATCCCTGGCCTTAGGTTTGTTAGGACACATAAAATGTGCATAACATTGTCCAAGTGTGGGATCAGGTGGTGCGAAATACGTCTGGTGATGGTGTAGATTTTCACCCTTTGAATAACTCTTTCTACGTGTATCCTGACGGAGGCAGTAGCGTACGTAGAGTCCACCTCTACCTCGGTAAACTGTGCACCCGATGCAAACGGTGGCATCACCAACGTGGCTCTTTGGGCGCCGACACCAGTCACTATCCCTGGGAAGCCTTTGTCAGCGAGGACAACATCGTTTGGCTGCAGCTTGAGCAAAAATCCAGATTCTACTGTGATGGCAGTATCGCTTGTGCGTCCTCCAAACCCATCAGAAAGAAACGTCACCAGCCCGCTGGGTGCAATTCCGATTAAATACTTCACAGTGAAGCATCCCTTGTACTGTGAGTACCACAGGTTTTGCTGCTCGACGGTGGGGGGCATTTCAACTGTCATCTCTGTGCAGTCTATAATAACCCTGCAAAGAGGGTAGTTAACCTTAAAACTCGGTGGCATGGTAGCCTGAATGGCGGCCCTACTCGGCCACCAAATCCAGCTCTTTGTCCTGGCACAGAGGGTTTCTAGTGTTCGCGTAAACATTCGTGCGGCAGTCCTGCGGTCCACAGTGAACAGAACCCCCAAACATGAAAATGGCACATTGTGTTTGAGCTTAATTAAAAACAGCAAAAGCCGATTCTCGGCCGAGAGCTCATTCTGCCTCCTTGGGACATCTGGAAGCAAGCTTAAAAGGAGAGCAAATAACGAGAAAGATGTGGCACTAAGGCTTTCCAGCCTCGCCTCATCATGCCGAACCGAGTTGTAGCCCATGAAACAAGGCTCTTTGTAGGCTGGTCCCACTCCCTTGTCCACGACTGCTGGTTTGTCCGGCCCGCTTCCTTGGTCCAGTACCGCCTTGTGGCTGACAAAGGTTGTAGCCTCATTTCCCACGATGCAACAAAAGAACTGGTTGCACAGTGAGAAATCTGTCCCTTCGTCATTGGTCATGGTGCAAGCCTGCAAAAATATTTAAAAAAAAATATTTTAGATTGAATCAAACAGTTCATTTCTATGCAATATTTGTCGGCTTCCCAGTTGCATGTAAAAATTCTAGATTAGTTGATCTTTATATACAATTGCATTAGAAAGAAAAATAATAGTTTAGAGGGCTGAGTTCCAAGTTTTCATGAGCATCTGGCATGCCGCATCACAACATTATGAAATAATTCAGCACTGTACAAGATTTGTGGTACAAAGAAATACCTCGGTTGAGCAGTCACAAAAATGTAATTACCCTCTTTTAGACAACAGACACCGTGGCCATATTAAAAAATTTTGTGATTGCGATGGCATCGGGTTGCACTTGCAGAGTTCGCTTCGGACTGGTTCTCCTTGTTGCCTTCGGTAAGTGCAATGCATACTGGGAGAAAGCTAACACAGAGCCAGTGTGTGTTAAAGGAGCTCGCTATCAAAGAAGAAAGCATCCTGGGTTTGAAATCTTTGGTTTTTGGAATGTCATGGCTCCCAGCAATAAATACTTAAACCAGTCACATAACAATGACCGATATCCAAAGCACCGCCATTTTAACGTGGTGTTGCTAGTGGTGCCATAATCATTAGTTAGATTAAAAAGCAGTCGAAGAATTGGCACTTCAAAGTCCTGCTTACGTCGACTGTTAAAGGACAAAGTTGGGGTAGCTCCGTTGGCTGCTCCATGGTCGCGCCACTCTCGGGTCCACTTGTCGCTGATGCTGCAACACTGTGCGCGTCCCTCTTCAGTTTCCTGAAAAGACGCATTTATCCGTCAGTAGTAGTGTGTACTGTGTTTGTAGATATACTTGTGCATTAAAGGGGCTATGCTACACATTTCTAACTGTTCTTAAATACTGCGCAGAATGAATCCTTCACGCTAATAACCTACGAAACAGACATTAGTTTTACTCTCCAAGCAATGGTAGTCGCAGAAATAAATAGAGAAAAAAGGGGCAGCATTCACCCTCTCAACTCGCAGAAAGAATCGGCCATGTGACCTGGCGACGATTATATGCCGCCATGTTCACCATAGCCACGCACTGGGCTTAGCAAAGCATAGGGTGCTTGCGGGTTCCCGCACATTGTTAGAGCTCGCCTACTCTCGTCACCCCGGCGATTAGGCTCCGAGCCACTACCCGAATGTTTGGCGAGGTGTTGATTGTCACGAGCCAAAGTCGAGTGATGACGCAGTGCTTGGATCCAGTCGATGTGCCTTAATCAAATAGCGTCAGATGAGGATCCTGTAGTGAGGTGAGAGGTAGCACGCAGGATTATTTTTCCATTTCATTTCATTTATTGTCCTCAAAAGCATCTGGCGATGCATTACATGAGGGGGGATAGCAAAAAATGGGGAAAAGTCGCGATATACACATTACATGAGTAAAGAATGATCTTGGACTGGTTCTCACATAGAAGAACACAGCAAATGCCATACACACAGCGTATGACAACGTAGTTTCCCTAGACTGTGTGTCCCATTCTACGTCACCGAGCTTTGCGAACAAGAGAACAAAGAAAATGGGTGACTTTTATCTTCCCACTTGCACCGCGTCAAAGAAGCTTCTGTATTAGTGGCGTTGCGTTCGAGTATACTTGGATCACAGTAACGCCAGTCCGCGTATGTAAAGAGAAAAACATTCCAACAAAATTTAGTTGCACAGCCTAGCCTTCTTAAGAGACTCCAAACATCGTACAGACTCGTTAGCAAAAGAAAGAAAGGTAAGCTGCGGGAACGAAGAGTCACCTGTCGTGTCGTTCTGCGATTCCCAGCACCTCTCTCTTCATGTAGGCTGGCGGAAAGATCGACGGGTTATAGGCTGGATGGGCGACCTCGTTCCGCTTCTCGTTCCCGATGAAGTGCTTGCTGCATATTTTGGAGTTAGCTGTGGGTTTCCACGTTGTTCCATCGGCGCTACAAAGAGTCAATTTATTATTCGTCAGCAGCTTAGTGCAACACGGGATGTGCAGGTAGAAAAACGCCACTTACTTGCATTGACGCACAAGTCGAATCCAGGCCGCGCGGCGCTCCACCTCGTACGGTTTCGAAGGGAAGCTATAGAACCTAGTGTCGGGCGCGTTCTCGTAGGTATTGCTGCAGCCAACCACACAACAATTGTTATGGCTTTTTTTCTTTGGAATAAGCATCTCAGAAGGTGCAGTGACTACCGCTACAACACCACAGCGATTGCAGAAGCCTCCGTAGCTGCCGTGGCAGTGTCCGCGGCCTCCCGGTGTGGCCGACACGTTTGCCGCTAGGGGCGCCCTAGTCGGCGCTTGAATTACGTCTGTCCGGTCCCTATATAGACCGACACGCGGAGCGGCTCTGTTTACCAACACGGCCGGGAGGCCGCGCATGCGCGGTAGCTATGTGGGCAAAAGCATCCCGGCTCTCCGTGTTTTCGCCATTGCGCTCTATGGCGTGCGCTCGTTGTTGACGTTGTCGGGACGCTTGTATCTTTATTTGTGTGTCGCATTTCCTCATAACGTATGTCGTATGCTATGCCCGACTATTTGAGCTCGTTGCCCGAGCCTGAACGGTAGCGGTATCGAAACAAACTGTGCGTGGACGGCGTTGCCTACGAGGATCCGTACGCCGTAAACAAGGCCTTGGTGCAGGACTTCCGACGTAAAGTTGCTGCCACGGAAGTCGACGGCTCAGGTCGCCGTTAATTTAGTTTTCGCCAAGTCAGTCCACGGCCGACACGGTGCAGGCCTACAACTCGAGGCCTACGATTACATCGAGTCGGTTTCCGCACTGCCGGCGGGATCAGCAGACTGTGGGTCTGCGGAAGTGTGTGTATTTAATAATTGATTAAATAGACAGAGCTTCTTCAAGTCAAGGTATGATATTTTTCATACCCTCGTGACCACAAGGCATTACAACCAGTAAAGGTTTGTCCGTTCTGCAGTCTTGGCTGTAACAGGTTGCAAGTAACGGCGTTACCAGGAACGCGTTACTTTTTTCAGTAACGTAGTGACCTACTCGTTACGTTTTTGACACAGTAGCGGGTAACGCACTTATCCTACTATTTCAAGTAACGTAGTTACGTTAGTCGTTACTACTTCCCAAGTCTTAAAGAAATTACATTTCAATTGTTTCCGTGTTTTAGGCGTCAAGCCATGTTTTCTTTGCGTTTTTTCTCGTAAGTATTTAGGTGAAACCGTAAAAAGAGATAAAGTATTTATGTTCAGCTTCTGCTTCATATATGACCTGTATCGTCAAAACCGTAAAATGTGTTAAATCATAATTTAAATAAAGTAACGCAGAAGTAACGTGCCATACTTTTTATCGGTAGCGGTAACGCGTTCTTTCTATTTTTAGGTAACGTAGCTCAGTAACGCGTACCTTTTATTTGCAAGTAACGAGTGACGTATTTCGTTACTTTTTTTCGGTAACGCCTACAACACTGCCGTTCTGTCGCCGATCCCCTTCTGCTCGGTAGCACGTGCGTAGCGAGCCTCCGACGAGCGCTTGGCCTGTGCGTTGTGCGCAAACACCGTGGGAACAAAATCCGGGTGGTCTTGATCAGACGACGGTTTCCCTGCACATAAGCAAGCTTCGCGACGGAGATTGAAATGGAAGCCGCACTTGCCTCCAGAAAGTGTTTGCCGCACAAACGGTCGTTCGCGCGAGGCGACCATTCTTTTCGATCCACGGATATTATCCACCTTCTATGCCTTTCAGAGTCTGCCGGGAACTTGTGGAAGCTCACTCCGCTGCTTTTCTTGTACATTTCGGTGCAATTAACGGCAACACAGCTTCGCGACATGCTGAAATGCTATGACGCCCATGCAAAACGTGCGCACTTTTGCCCACACCCCCCGGCTCCGGCGCGATAGCAGCGCCGCCGCAGCTCCGTGACGTCAAGCCCGCGTGTCGGTGTATAGCTCCTACGGAGCAGAGTAGCGCAATCCTTTGAACCCCGTGTTTTGCCGACAACATGGCCGACAGAGCGGCTCGGCGCGAGTCACGTGGTACTCAGGGTTCCAGGAGGCGGCCCGCCCTATGGGAGAATACATGGAGATCGACACAACACGGCTGATTAAAAAATGAACGTCGAGTTCACACTTTTCAAAACTAGTCTGTCGTGAAGTTAGTAAAGCACTAAACACTTTATCAAAGTTTTAATAATATCGGATGCGTGTGCAAATTTTGAGAAGGCAATTTCCAAGGCAATGGCGTTTGAAGCAGACGATTTTTGCTCGCAGCGGAGATGGGCTTTTCGGGTTGGCCGGAGCGGGTCACGTGAAGGGTGTGACGTCGCCGTGTCGTCTGCTGCATGATGCCGCTCAAGCAATTTTTTAAAAAAAGTCAGGTCCTTGCGGGGCACAAAACTTAGCGCAAATTATTCTAAAATGTTCCATTATTATGTCTAAAACAATTGCCACTCCGTACACCCGCACAATACTGAAGAAACAGCGATTGTCTCACGTTCTCCATGCATTTTTGACCGCAGTTGGAACCTCCGGGCGTTCGCCGCTATTCGCCGAGAGGCGGCGTTCTAGATTGCGCTACTCTGCTCCGAAGGAGCTATATAGTGCTCTAGTGCAATCTGCCCCAGCCGCCCCAGCGTTGGCTTTCTCTAAGTGAGGCCGAAAGAAACTGCGGATTTGTTACCTAGAAGCCGTTGTTTTTTTCTTTTGTCTTACAACTTCCCAGCGCTTTTGCTCCAGGATAAAACTGCGGAGCTACTCAGCTATGGACGCATGTGCGACGTGCGCGTCCGCAGCACACGTACTAGACCCGAGTAGACAAAAAAATGGCGCAGCGCAGAAGGGGATTATTAGAAGTGTCAATACTCTCGCTTCCAGCCTACTCAAGGTTCTGGGCGCCGGCTTGCTGACAGCGCCGCCTTTCTACCCGCCGGCGAAGCTCAGCCACCCGTACCACGGCTACGAGGCCCTCCGGTGGCATGAAAATTTTGCCGCCCTGGTGGGCCCTGCCGGCAACAAGGTGTGCCACACCATCAGCGTCGCAGCCACGGCGCTGCATTCAGCCGCGGAGAACACGCTTGTCCCCTTCGGAACGCTTTGCCGCCGGGGATATCTCACGGACGGTGCCGTTCCTTCCCGGTGAGCTCGCGCAGTTCCACCCTTGAGGCTCGCTCGTCTTGTAATGCGAAAGCATTAGGTCTGTTCGATTCGCCTGAACTGGCTGAACTAGTTCAGCAGTGCAGGAACTGGTGCATTCGATTCAACCGGAAGTTGCCCGGCCGCTGCACTGGCGCGTTCGATTCATTTTATAGCATCTTCGATCAACTCGCACCGGAATCGCCCTGAAACCAGCACAGTGCACAGCGCTCCTCGGTCGTGCAGCGCGATGTCGGTGCAACATCGAGGACAAACTGCGCCGCGCCGGTGCACCGCGGCGAGCTCCACCTTGCGTCACTTCGCGTTTTGTTCGTTTATTTTGCGTAGGTCAGCGCACGATGCCCGTCTGCTGTCAATTTCTTTTATTTTTTTACTCGCGGATTTGACGGTCCCACAGAAATAAACATCGTGGACGTGATTGTCGATGGGTTCACGAAGCGGGTGACAATTCCACATGTATATGTTGGCCATCATTATTAGTTCAAGAAAACGAAACGCCAGATAATACCGTACCTCGCTGTCATCGAAACGCCTCGCGCCGCTTTCCACGAAGTTCGTGCTTTTCGGGCGCTCCTTGCCACCGCAGCAATCGCCAGTAATCGCGGCGATGGTGAGAAGTTCGTCGTCTCGCCGTCAGAAGACCTGAGGAAATCATCTAGTGCAGCTGCAAGGCGTGTTCGTTTTTGCAAGATCGCCATCTCGATAGTCTGCGCGTCTGCTACTCCCGCCATCTTCTCGATTCCCGCTTCCGGCCACAATGCCTGATGGGACTGCACCCCGGCGCACCGCCGATTTTCTCGGTGCGCGTTGGGGCAACGAAAAGCCGCACCGGGAGGGTGCGCTTCGTTGATCGAGGACGTACGGTGCGCACCGGTGCACTTGATCGAAGATGAAGGGGCGCACCTCAGTGCCCCGGTGCGCACCGGTGCGGATGATCGAGGATGCTATTAGTTCTGAACGAGTTCAGACCACTGATCTCTATGTCTATTTGCTGGATCGCGTTTGACCAGCTCCTCCTATGGACCGGAATGCGGTCACTGGCGGCCATCTTTAGGTAGAGTTATATCATCTCTAGCCATCATGGTAATATGGCGGACAGCGCAATGGCGGCAGGCTGCCATAAAAATAGCCGTAGATCTAGTACACTGTACCGTGGGTGACATTTCGTGCTTGATTGAAGTTGTTCGACGAAGCAGATTCTTGAAACCCGGCGTGAACGATAGCCTCATCTTTGAGGACCCGGGAAAAGTTCTACAAAAGCGCAGCACCGGGGGAAAGCAGCGCAGCTCGCATCAAAAGCAGACTCCGTACCGTCGTCTGCTTTCGATGCTTCTTTCGATGCGACTTTCGGTACGTGCTGTGCTGCTTTTCTCCCGGTGCTGCGATTTCGTGAAACTTTTACCAGGTCCTCAAAAACCAGACTACTGTTCACGCCGGGTTTCAAAAACATGTTTCGTCAAATAATTTTAATCAAGCACGCAATATCACCCACGCTATTTTGACCGCAGCCTGCCAACCCACCTGCCAAAACGCTATCTGCCATGGATGGATGATAGCGGCTGCAGCAGCTTACATTGGCTAGAGGTGATATAACTCTACCTAAAGATGGCCGCCAGTGACCGCATTCGCGGAGCGGGCAAACGCGATCCAGCAATTGTCATAGAGATCAGTGGTTCAGACCCAGTTCCTCAAAATCTTGCACCGGCTCCAGAGTCAGTTCAGCGTCCGTGCAGGAGCAGACGACAAGAGCAGACGGCGATAGAAGACGGCATGCACTCCTCGTCCGTCTCT